ATGCTGTGCATCGTCACATGCCGAATAATAGTAATATCTAACGATTGAATTAATAAAACAGGGATGTCCGCTTCTAAGCCAAAATAAAACACTGTGCTGTGACGGGAAGGTGACAGCTGACAGGCCCTGTCTCATCTGTGGTGAGTGGTGACAGATGACAGCAACTAAAATAAAAGGGTTTCATTTGGGTAAAATAAAATAAAAATATCCAGGACAAGAAGACACAACAACACGTAATAACAAAGTTTATTCTTTAGGAATAAGCCATTAAAATTAAAGAGAAATTGGTGAATTTATTTATACTTTACAAAATTTCATCTGAAGCGGAAAATTCGAAGTCGTGATTCATCAGTAAAAGAGTGTTTTTTTGCCCCCGTACAGTACGTAAAAAAGCTATTTACTAAGGTATCAATTTATTATTAACTATTGTACTATTAAAATATTCGTATTCACTAAAAAATATTTATAGATCTTGTGGACTTGCAAGCAATTATGGCCGAGTGGAAACAGCTGATAAATGAATGGATAGCAGAATATACCTCCTTACAAGAGAATGAAATAAAGAGTTTTGCAGCAGAACATGAGCATAACCACGAAATCGCAACAGCTCTTTTCAATTTATTCTACAGTGAAGATGAATGCGATATTAACTGCAGCAACAAAAATCAAAATGAAAGTCCAGAAGAGGTAATTATATCGAAAAGACCGCCTAAATTATACACATGTATCTTTTTGTATTTCTTTCAAAACACAAAACATGCATTACTTAACTCTGTCTTATATGTCATAGTTCTTTACATAAATTTATTTCAATAATTTCAGATACTTGAAAATGTGTGCACTCAACTATTTAGTTTCTATAGATCCAAAGAAGTGGAACTTCAAAGATTCACATTGCAATTTGTTCCAACACTCATCTACAGCTACCTAAGCTCAGTGGCTCAAGGAAACTTAAAGTCATGTCGCTGTATTGAGACACTACTCATCGGTGAGAGATTTCAGACTAATAGAAAATAATTGTTTGCTATTATAACTTATTTTCTTTTTATAATGTTTTTTCTACTTGATTATACATGTGTAAATTGATATTATTTATCATTATGATAGCTGACTGAAATTAACCTTTGATTTGTGCTAGGTTTATACAACTTTGAAGTTGTTGATGAAACTGGAAAACCTAAAGTAGTCTCATTCCGTCTTCCATCCTTAGCACAACCATCAATCTATCATGAGGTAAGTAGGTAACTATGTTGTGGATCAAGTAATTTTTTTTTTCTTAAACAAAATGTCTAATGATAATTAAATTTTACAGCCTCTGTCTTTAGGGCCACAGTTTCTGACTGAAAATGCTTTACGAAGATGGGAGGAATGCAACACAAAATTAGTGAGTTGGGGCCCATTATCACAGGTAGAAGTGATAAACGCACAGAATCGTCTAAAGGTGATGTCAGCACTGTATTTCATTTATAATCGGCAACTGAGTTTGTTACCAAAGCTGGCATTGAGACATTTCTGCATTGCAGCTTCAAGGTAAGTGCTACTAGCCAAAACCTCAATTAGCCAAAATTTGAAAAATCTGTAACTAATGGGGCCTATCAAGTAATCAACACATTCTTTCATCAATCTATTAACACATTTTTATTTTATTTTCAGAATCGTGACCCAAGGGTTCCACAAAAAAATTGGTTGCAATAAATCCACCCCAAGAATTCCAGTGTCACCGAACTTCCTATTAGAAATGATAGAAGGCGCCTACTTTGCCATGTTTAATGAATTTTATACATTGGCTCTGCAAGCAGTAAAAGATATAGATAGGCGGGCGCAGTACGAGTTATTTCCTGATGTTATGCTAGTCACTAGTGCTGTTATAAACTCCTTGAAAAATAATTCCTCAGGTGAAGCAGCTTTGTTAAAAAAAAGATGTTTTGTCATCGCGATTCGCAATGTATATTTTACTAATTTACTTACCTTATTTTTTCAGGTCAACCTTGTGATGGTCCAATGGGCATAAGTGTTGCGCTATCGCCAGCTACCACCACGGTTACGATGTCCAAATCCATGATTACCAACGCATCGTTTCGTACCAAGAAACTACCAGGTAAGATAATTTTACTGATTGTTTTTCACTATTTATGTACCTACTTGCAACATGCCTGGTTTTAGTTAAAATTACTCAGTATTTTTGTAGGTTTATAGATAGTATTTTTTAAATACATCATGGATTTGTTTTGACTTACTATACTTTACACACAGATGAACATCACGATTATTGCATGCTGCCTAATGAATGCTCTTGGTCTTATTGTAAAGATAGCGATTTTCGGACTAGAAACATATACTTCGGCAACAAGGGCAATATTATTCATTATGTGGATATGTACAGAACAGCCTTTTCTAATGGGCTAGTTAAAATATTTGATGGGGAATATTGGAAAATGTCCATGCAAAGAATAAAGAGTGATAGTAGCTCATTGTACGATCATTCAGTTAGCTCTGAATCAGATCAGCAGTGACGAGTTTATTGAAACTCGTCGCAGTTTATTACTCCCATAAAAAGAGGTAGTCTTTTTTAAAGAAAATATACAACTACATGCCACCTTCATGCTTGTCAAAACACTGCACAAAATTACTACACTAGTACCATTGTTTATGCAAGCAAGTGTAAATTGTCCCATATTCGTCTATTTAACTTGCAGATCGAAAGAATGTCTTATTTTCACGATGATAAGAACAAATATTATTTATCTGCACTAGATGATACATGTCCTATTTTTGTTTAAATTTTTGAACTCAGGTATGCTGTGCAGTATTAAATGATACTGTTACCGCTTTATGTTCAAAGTTCATTTGATAGTACTTACATTCATCTTAGTTTATAGAGTTTATGAATAATCCTAGGTATAACTGTAGCGCACTAATTTATTCAAAAGTCATTCATCGTAGATTTTAGCCAACCTTACAACACCGTTTAATTATGTTTAATAATAATACTCGTAATAAGTTGATTGAAGTTGTTAATGTTTAGAAAATCTATTCGTAAATTTTATCCGATCACTCGACAAATAAAAAAATGATAATTAAATAAAAATAGCAGATGCCCTTGCTATTATTATTTGTAAAGCGATGATTACAAAAAAAGTTGTTGTTGGTGACCATAATTTCACTCTCCACACTATAAAATTATTACGGTTTTCAGACGACATCCCTATTCAAGCTGGCCAAGTGGTACCCACAGAAGCAACGGATATACTTACATCTATAACAGAAGAAGGAGAATCAGATTCTACGCCCATACAACGCGGTGGAGTTGTACGCACGTCCAAACCCAAGCTCAGCTCATTTCCAGTACTCGGAAAAAAACCCAAAGATAGCAAAGACAAAACTGTAAACATGGCTGACAAAAAAGTTACACTGAAAGAATCTTCTAAAGGAATTTGGAATTCGTTGAGTGGCGGTGGCGGAGATATGATTGATGGTCAACCTAAAACTAGCTCTGGGGATGGAGTAGCAGACACCAATGGTAGCCTAAAAGATGATAAAATATCCATGAGCTCGATACAGAATAGCACGGAAAACTCTGACACTAGGTCGCAAGTTACAACTGATTCATTGGACATTGAAACAACACCTCGTTTTGCTGCCATGCAAGTAAGTTCTGTCTAAAAGATTGTATTTTTGATGACTTCCAGTATTGTCTTGTATTTCAAGAAACAATTTAGTAATTTTATGTAGGCATAGTATTTGGGTGAATCAGCTGAGTTCAGTTTAAAAAGTTATTTACATATAATGCGTATTAATGTTAATTTTTTTGTAAGAAACAGACTATTATTTGATATCGCAAGTCTTTCAATACCTCTCAATTAGTCTCTTGGATATAGTGTGTATAAAGTAGGTTTTTGACGTCTGGAAATCCTTTGGGCTTACCCACAGCCCATGGGGACGACCAGTGTGTACTTTATCTGGGACTCTACCCGCTTAAGAGTAGGCGCACACCGTTGATTTTTAGTTGGCCGATAGTTGTGCGCGTTTTTAAATTGTATGAAGAATCGGCCAAATCGAATCGGCGTAGTGTGCGCACTCCCATACATGCCCATACTGATCAACTGCCCGACTAAACTATCGGCCGACGAAAAATCAACGGTGTGCGCCTACTCTAAAGGCGGCGCCTACCCACCAAAACCCGGTTTTTAATAGAGGTTTTCTCCTCATGGTCCTGTTAAAAAAGGACCCCCGCTCGACCGTAGCGGATTACGGTCTACTCTATAGAAACTCACTTAAGTTGATTCACCTTTTTATTTTTGTTTCACCTTTTTATTTTTGTAGATTAGCCGGTTTTGGTGTATAGTCCCAGTTTGTCTACTGGATACTATTAGGTTGAAGCCAAACGAGCGTAAATTTTTGAGTTGTGAGTTGCGTAATTTCGGTCATGTAATTTCTGCTGCATACGGTTTCATACAAAAGTCCTGTTTCATTCACACGAAGACGCAAAATGAGTTGTTTTTCTTTGTTGTAATTTCAGTGGCCGAAATTCAGCGACTCACGACTCACAAACGCCCGTTTGACCACACCCTTAGATCATATTATGGTATAAATAACGAGTTAATTAAAATTCTTAAATGTTTAATGATGTTACCAAGTTCCTGATCGGAGTGTGTTTTGGTGTTATGCCAAAATTTGCATGTAATCTGAAAATATCAAACTGTTGTGTGAAATTCTCCCTCGAATCCTAATTTAGATAAAGGTGTTTTGGAGTCTGCTTTTATAATGCTCCAGACATTCATAGGTAGACATGCAAAACAAGAACTTTGTGTGTCTTTGCTTGTTCAAAATTCATAAATTACATTCCATAATGGATATAACTAGGCTTTTTGTTATTTAATGAACCATTTTGTAGTTATCTTAATTTTAAATTAGATTTTAATGGTGTTGTATCAAAGTTTAAATGACTTAATAGTTTGTTACGATTGATTGTTAATTCTGACTAATAAATTAAATTATATGTAAACTGAAGGAATTTAATGTCTGAGCGAAGAAGCCCCTACTCCATTTCCCTTATTGTCTGAATTACAAAACCCTTTAAGACACGGCTAACTAATAAAGAATCTGTCAACAAGCGGGACTAACTAGACACACATTAGGTACTTGCTTTTAGACAAAGATCTACTCGCAATCGTTTGTAATATTTAAAATTGAATAATTTTATATGGCCACCCCATAAAAATAAAACTTAATTAAAATAAAGTTCTAAAATATGTTGATAGGTACTTTACTCCTTATCAATTCAATGCTAGATTATAATTAAAGGTAAGTAGACGATTCTGTATTAAATTTTACCTCATGTGTTTTGTCTGGGCATAAATTCAGCAATGACAACATTATCTTATTCCAATAATTACTATCTTGTTTAATGTTTGAACTTGTGACGGGTCATAATGTTAACTATCTTAATGTAAACAAGTATTTACAAATTTCGTTCCGATAATTCGTTGGGAGCTCAGTTAATTTACTTTACCGACTAAAGATACTAGTGCCCTTAGTGCCAAGATGAGATTATTATTACTATTATGTATTTTCGCTGTTGCATATATCTCAGTCTGCCAAGGAAATGACCTGATTGTAGGGACTAGTTACAATACACGTCTAATATGGCAACAAAAGCTTGACTACATGGCGATTCCATTCAAAAAACGAGTTAAAGAAATGTTCTACTCGGATCCCGGACAGCAGATCATTAAGGTAAAAATACCATAAAATCAATTTTAATAATACACAAAATCCCAACTGCATAAAAGATACAAAGTCGTAATAATAATGCGAGAAACAATGACGTCAACTGTAATGCCTTGTTGACCACATGATGCCAACGGATTTCCGAAAAACAAATCGATGACCAATAGAAACTTTAATAAAATGACAAACAAACGTAAGTAAATATTTACCTACTTAGGCTGAATCGCATTTGTTAGGTGCAACACCACCAACACTGTGCAGTCTGGGATTTTCGTAAAAGCTTTTGTATATTTTAATTTTACGTTTTCCGTTTGTAAACCTTTCTTTTTCTTCACAGGGTATTGTAGCGAGGGAGACCGATAAAACAAATGCAAATGGCATTATAACAGCCGGCGGTGTAGGGTCAACTTTCGTAAATATTCGATTCAAAAGCGAACGTGGCAGTGGTCTGCACTATCAAATTGAAATCTATAGTTAATTATAGGTATTTGCTGGAGTAAATCGTGCCGCAATAATTGTTTAGGTACTTCTTATACTGTAAGTGAGTGTAACAATTAAAAAGTTATTATACACTTCATAAACTAGTTATTATTTATTAATATTTAATACATTCAATCAAAGTTCGTAATGGAAACTTTGAGAAAATTTTATTATGTTCCTTCACACTTATCACAGGTTATTATCGATTAAGTAATTCTTAATCTCTTACTTAAGACTTAATCAAGCCGTTTCTGGACACAATGAACATCATATTACGAGGCTGACCATAATCAGTAGCATACGGCAGATTATCAACTGTGTCAGCAAACGTTCTCTGGTTACTGTTCTCTAGAATTTGTTTAAGTTTGCGTATTGTCGCCGCTTGTTCATCTAGTTTTATTTCGTTTACCACTATGGGTAAATTTACGGCACATACCCATAAATAAAACATTCCCACTGAAACAAAACAAATACTTATATATTTTATGTAAACTTTCACCTCTTTCTTAAAAGAAGAATAACTCATTAGGTACTCGCTTAATTTTTTCCATCATCATTAAAATTACTTACAAAGAAAAAATCCTGACCCCACACTGGCTCCGATGAGAAGGCCAATGTCCATAGTGTTCTGTTTCAGTAAGAAGAGAAAATTAGCTATCAATATGGACAGCAACACGAGCCGTGTGGTCTCCATCACCATGTAAGGAATCATCAGCGTGTTGTTACACTGAAATAAATGCCGTCACATTTTCAATTAGCTACCTTCATTACACTAGCTGTGCCCGCGATGTACGCGTGAAGAAAGTTTAAATATTTTTTCCGTTTTCGCAACATTTTTCATTGATGCTTGACTGCTCCTATTGACTGTATATAGCCTAGAGCCTTCCTCAACAAATAGGCTATCCAACACTAATAATAGGTTTTCGGTTCTTTGAAAGTCCAAAAAAATCTTTTAATCTACCTATTTCGGTAGAAGTTGCGACTGTACTTACCGTATAAGCTCCATAAATAAATAATAGGCATACAATAATATAAATGCATGAAATTGTAATGCCAAGAGATGTGTATTTTCCGGGATCTGAAAGAGATATTTCATACGTTATCTACAGTGAACTTTATTTTATCGTATCACCATTTTCAATTTTCTTACCATCTTTAATATATTCTAAATAATGTGCCAAATTAATTAAATCAAAATTATTTGTCCAATAAGTGATTTGTTCCTTGAGTTGCTTTGTGTGTGTATGAGCATAACAGTTACCGGCCAAAGCTATCAGTCCCTGAAACTATAAATACATCAAAACATCGTAAAATAATCCTAAAATATGACTAACTCGAGATTGGAGTCATTGCTGCTCACCACTGAAAATATGCCAATGAGTATTCCACCCAATCTCAACGAAAACCAAAAACAGCAACTGTAAACGAACGCCATCGAAGATTCTACTGTATAATCTAGTTTAGACACATACTTATCCTAAATAATCTGACTGAATAGAACGCCCGATGTTTACTGATTTCGTGTTACCATAAAAGAAAGTTACCGTGACGAATGTATGTCCAACATCTGATAGGCGATACAATTATGCGATATGTAGCTTTTCGATTCTATCTAATACCTACAACATAATTACATGCCGCTTTTAGAGATCCTTATTGATATAAAGGATTCAATATTCCCCTAATTCAATGGTTTTACAACATTGCGACGTATTCCTTTAAAGTTTAGGGCAACGACAGACAGGACACGCCTGGTGATTTGCGTACCAAACTTGTACTACGCCCACTGACGCCCACAGATACGCCAGTCGCTGGTTCGATCCCTGAATAATAGGTAAAATGTATGCTGGCAAATTACTCTGCCCTCCATTGAAGTGAGGCAATTAGAAATAATACCCTCTACATGGCTGTGGTGTACTACTACACAAATAAAGAGTGTGCGCTATGGCAACACTGACTAGTACGGCGCGGTGGGGAGTCAGTCGTAGTCGGGCCGCCACACGGGACGGACGTCAGTGCTTGCACTAGCTTACACAGTGAACATATATCAGTGTTTTATTTAAGACACCACATTGGCGACGAGGATAAAAGTGAGTAATTAATAATTTTAATGATTATATACCCAATAAATTAAATAAAATAAAAGGGAGGTAGCTACAATCATTACACTTATAGAATGTACATTCACAGTCTATTTGCCGATTAATATTTATCGAAATCATTATTATTATCAACATCAAGTAAATTAATATTTAATTTTACAAACAATATCAAACCTACAAACCCATAGTAATATTGATTTTGATCATGTTATGTTGATTAACAAACTCGTTACTTACCAAAAGTCACTTGTTATTCTATGATAATTAGTCTTGTTAAAACTAAATCATCTAAGATCACTCGAGCCAGACTGACGCAGACGGGATATGTCTGCCTGCCAGTTATCGAATTTTGACGCGGACATACTGTGTTTGCCTGCCAGTTGAAAGGTAGCTATTTAAGCTGTAATTTGTAATGCCACTAGTACCCAGGGCCGTTTGGACGGTCATCGAACTAAATAATTTATATTATTAAAATGATCGTATTCATGAACGAATTAAATTATTTCACTACAATGAAAAAATACGTAGTAGGTTACCTCCTGTTTTCATCAATGCTACCTATAAAACGAGACAAGATAGTGTATTGTCAAGAAATTATGATAATCTGATTGGGTATATAATTTTAAATAATATAAATAAAGCAAGTAGTGAATTGCTAATATGGAATAATAAACAAAGCAAGTCGTGAATTGCTAATATTGAATAATAAACAAAGCAAGTCGTGAATTGCTAATATGGAATAATAAACAAAGCAAGTCGTGAATTGCTAAACTGGAATAATAAACAAAGCAAGTAGTGAATTGCTAATATGGAATAATAAACAAAGCAAGTCGTGAATTGCTAATATGGAATAATAAACAAAGCAAGTCGTGAATTGCTAATATGGAATAATAAACAAAGCAAGTAGTGAATTGCTAATATGGAATAATAAACAAAGCAAGTCGTGAATTGCTAATATGGAATAATAAACAAAGCAAGTAGTGAGTTGCTAATATGGAATAATAAACAAACTTCATTTATATTCAAGTATCAGTGTGTTATTAAATCAAGGTACATACATTTACCAATTTTGGCGATAAATAGGCATTTTGTAATAGTTTTTGTATACCGCCTGAACAAAAACAAAGGGTAATATTTTGGTGTTATACATAGATTTCGAATATAAAAAATATATAATTTTACTAATTAAGACATGACAAAAAAACTGAGGTATGTCTCGTTTCTGTCGGGTCTGGGTTTTTAACTATTTTACTAAACAATTCTTCATTTATGATTATTTATGAATGGATCTTGTTTGTCATACTTTCTGCATAACAACACCCCGGTTGACGCTAGCGCGACACTATCGCGACAAATCGCGACGACAAAATTTGTCGTTACGTATTTAATAGGCGCGTGCGCTCATTCCGCTCCGCTGCGTCTCTTCATCCATATTCTTTATCGTATTTATTTTTATAGCCTTCGATAAAAGATGCTACTTTTAATTACCTCGATCGATGAATCGATAAAAAGATAGAGAAAGAAGCGGGAGATTCTTTTTTTGCACTCTGAGAAGGTTTAAGTCCCAGTGAAATTGGCTGAATGATGATGATATAAAATGTTCTTAATGTGCAAAAATTTATTCAATAAAGCGAGTTCAGTTAGTCCACCTACTTCGGTCTGATCATCAATAAAAGATAAAATACTTACCTAAGTATGTAAGTATTGGGTTAAATTATATTTTATTTTACACCACTGTAATTGTTAAGTTATAAGTAGGCTAATTTATAGCTAACTGCACATGAACAATACCCATCACGCCTTAAGTAATTCTATTTATTTTACTATCACTATGTCACCTACTTAAGGACCCATTCGAGGATACTTATTTATAAACCAATAAATCCTGTCCAATTCGTTGTCACGTCAATAAACTGCGTCAGGTGACAACGAAACCTTAACTTATAAAAATAAGAGCCAACGTCCTTTCAAAATGACCTATGTGTTCAAAAGATCCAGAAATTAAAGACACGCAGATCCGCAAGAGTAGTTCCCAATGCGGGAACAAGATATAATGGACCACCAAATTAAAAAGACCTGTGTCACTGTATGATTAGTTCCAAATAACAGGTCAGCGTAAACTGGTGGTCACCACATGGGTGTTTTTGAAAGCGTTATCGCAGTACATTACATTATAGTACATTAGTGCGAGTTGACGCGACCAGTCGCCTGTGAGGCCACGGCTTGTATTAGTGGTCCCTAATTTATTGGGGCGATAGGACGACGGACGCCGGCCACCCCGGCCACGGATCCATTCACACCGGGAGGGTAGGTTGGGGTAGAATGGAACATAGCCTTTTTGGGTTAAAAAATACTACGCAATTAAAATTTTGGGTGGGTACTATTCGTATCCAGAATCCAGAGGAATTGAATTTTCACTAATTTTAGATAGAGGTTTGTATACATAATGGTACGATTTGTGATGGGATTTGAAATATGAATTCTTCAAAAATACATTTCTAGGATTAAACATTTCAAAGATTCTAAATGAGAATTTTCAGAAATTAAAAAAAAAACACAAATTGGAACACTTCATAAAGGAGGTACCTAGGTACCTAATAATTGCATATCCATATAAAATTTTTAATAAAGACATCAAAAGTATGTAAAAGTTATTGTCCTTTTTGTAATGTACCATAGATCAAATCTACACCTCCAGAGATCGTTATCAAGGGCAATGTCGCTGCAATAAAAACCTGTGATATTTTTACGACTAATTTTCATTGTGTCCGTTCCACCCAACGCTCCCCTACATTTTTATTAACACCCCAAACCTGATAAACAGGATACGGGAAATATATTTATTTGTCCAATCATCGAATATAAGGGGTGTTCTCGGGTTACACCAAATGATTCCGGTATAGCAATCGGCCTGGTGATTTGTTGTGATAATCTACACTCATAAATAAGGCCGAGTGTACCCGATTGAGCTGCCTCGACTGAGATACGTTGGTAATCTTTTGTTTTTACGTTTTTATTTGCCGAGTTTGATTTAATCCGGACGAGTTTGGCGAGGACGTTTTGGGTGACGTCACTCTTGAAGGAAAGCCGATAAATCATTTTGGTTGAGTCATTTTGCTGACGAACTGTGACGCAATATTTGAAAGTTTATTGTAATCCTACAAGTTTGGATGCCTGGATGTCGGGATGTCTGGATGTTTGTTACTCTTTCACGCTTAAACTACTGAACGGATTTTGATGAAACTTAACAGTAGGTATTATTGTTTATAACCCAGAATAACATATAGGCTATAATTTATGAGGTTCTGTGACAAACGAAATTTCACGCGGGTGAAGCCGCGGGCAAAAGCTAGTTAACAATTAGTTTTTCTAGTGGCATGGCAACAATCGCATTCTATTAAGTGTGTCCTTTAGCTTTAACCAGTTTGCGCCACTGTTTTAATCACAAGCCAGTGACAAGGCCTCACTTGCCAGTAGCGTCAACTGGAAAGCACCACATGGAAACCCACATTGATGAAAACCTGCAATACCTAAGAACCCAAAACGATAAAATTTCATAAAACAATTTTCCAATTTCTCTCATGGAAGTTTAACCCAGGACCTTCTGATCAAAAGAGTCCAATTTTCTTCTTATCTACTAGATTAGACCACAGGGGCTTTATTGCCATATTAAAATACAGTTAGTGATGTCCACAGTATTATACATTAGGTAAAAATATAACACGTACGCGACACGTAGCTAGATAATAAAAATGGTGTTGCCATAAAACAAAGGCGACGCCGGGACACCCACATGGCGGTCTTTATTGTGCGATAGAGCACAAATAGAGATGGGTGTTGATTAGTTACTTTAGTCGATTATTTAGAACTAGCGGCCGCCCGCGACTTCGTACGCGTGGAACTCGTTTTACCCCCCCTTCATCTATCTTACGCGGTTCAGATTTTTCATACAATTTTTTTTTCCCGCTCACTCCCGTTCCCGTGGGAATTTTGCAATATTCTGTTGTAACTAAGCTTTAAGTTTACTAAGGTACCTGCATGCCAAATTTCAAGCGTCTAACTTAAGCGGTTTAGATTTTTCATACAAAAGGATTTTCCCGCTATTTCCCGTTCCCGTGGGAATTCCTAAGTATCCTATAACCTGCCCAGGAGTATGAAGAATAATTGTACCAAGTTTCGTTGAAATCCGTCAAGTAGTTTTTGTTTCTATAAGGAACATACAGACAGACAGACAGACAGACAGACAGACAGACAGACAGACAGACAGACAAAAATTTTACTGATTGCATTTTTGGCATCAGTATCGATCACTAATCACCCCCTGATAGTTATTTTGAAAATATATTTCATGTACAGAATTGACCTCTCTACAGATTTATTATAAGTATAGATAGATTAGTCGATATGTAATTTTAGCAATTTTCTGAAAGGGGCAATATAAACATCGGGGATTTGAATTCTATCTATGAGAGTCACTGATGACTGGTATTGAGGTGGATGGTTTTGGATATGGTTAGTTGTGATTTTTCTTCTTGATGTTAAAGGCTTTTGAATCTCTATTAAAATATGATCGATTTTGTAATAGATTTAAGCACGTAGTTCTTCTACATTATCATCATCATTTTTAGGCCATTTAGTCTCTACTACAGGAGCACGAGTTTCTTAGTTACCAAAGAAGCTGATGGAGAATTTGTCTTACACTCCGCCCCCTACTCTCGTCAGAGTTACGAAGGTAATTTTTTTTATTCTGAAAAAAAAAATATTCCTTATT